GTGGTTGGTCTCTGTATTCCGAAATCCGGAAATTATTGTAAAGAGTGAAAAATAAAGGGTTTCGTATACCCTTCCTGTGTATCTTGTCTACTTCCCACATTTATTGAACATAGCTTTAGTAAGCTCCCTGTTCCGAGTCAGGTTCTTGAATGTTCCCCAAGCAAGTAAGGAGAACACAGAACCTGATAGTGTGTCTGGCTGTCATATAAATACGATAGTGATTACGTGGCGGTATGTTAAAGGCGATATGAAACTGGTATTTCTGTTGTTCGAAAAAGCATTAATGGTAAGGGTTAATCTTTGGATTATGGTAACTTGGCTATTTTTTGGCGACCAACCCTGCTAGTTTTTTTTTTTTTTTTTGGACGCCATTTTGTTTTCACGAAGTAAAGGCATTTTTTTTTTCACTAAACATTTTTTTCGAACAATCTGGTAGCCGAATTACGCTTATGCTAGAACTTTTATGGAACAAAAGTGCTTTCATGACGAAGATTAGGTGCGAAATTGGGAGAAAGTGGAGAATCGCCCACTACTTGCCGCGTTTTCAAGAATTGTACATACACGGTATCATCCATGTACACGTCAGCCTATTTTCACTTAATCCCAGAATTGCACAAAAATGGCATTGCGCACACTCTTCACTTTATCCATGTACACTGCTAAAATCCTAGCTAGTAACCTTTATCGCCTTACCAAAATGTTGCCAAACTACCTGTTACCATATTCCAAAGATTAGCCGTGGTAAGTGCATTTTTTTTTATTCTTGTTCTTATTTTGTAGAATATTATGTTCATTGTTTTTTTAGTATGAATTTCTGTGGTTATTGTTGTTTTTTTGAATTGTTTGAAATTTATTTTAGTTATTTTGTTGATTAGTGCGTACCGTCTAAACTGGGCAATTCATAGATGTTTTTTAAAGTTGAAACAGAATGCTGTGTACATGGTATTCTTTGAAATTTATTGTTGTTATGTTAATTTATTAAAGCGAGGTGTGCGTAGTTCATAAATTCGTTCGTTGCCTAGATGGTGCCATTCGTAGATGTTTTTTTAAGTTAAAACATATTGCTGTGTACATGGACTCTTGTCAAATAATTTTGTTAGAAACTTCACGGTTTTGCTATCTAAATTTTTTGTTTTTGTTTCAGATTTTTAGCTTAAATTGTGTGTTTTTGGAGACATTTTAGGCTTAAAGTTCGAAATGTAGACAAAAAATTTAGATAGCAATATGGCAGCGTGGAGTTTCTCGCCAAAAATATTTGCCGCCTTGAGGGCGCATATCAGAGTAGTTCCTTGACTGTATATCATAATAGGATTCCCATAACATTCAACTACTCAGGTTACCATAAATGAAACTACAGCTTGGCGATAAATAAGGCAACTTAGTGATAATCCAAAGGGCACCCTTAAATATACTTTAACCATAAATTTTCCACATATAGTCAAGTAAACAGTTGATGCTCCTCCTCCCTGTAACTTATCAGTGGCACTGGAAGCAACCTCCAGGAAAGGTATGAAGATCCTATCTGTGTAAATGTTTGCTGCATCCTACTGAAATTGACATACATAATGACAAAGAACTATGACATTCTGAAAAAGTGAGTACTTCCTTGTTCAAATGATTACCATGCGTAATCATCAAAATTTTCAAACTTAATTACCTAAACTGCAGCTTGACCACTGGCTTATGTAGTAACCCCTTTATTAAGAATGTATCAACAAATATTCTAAGCAAATTTTTACATACTTTTGAGCATTTACAACAGCTGCCTTACCTACCTCATTTTCAAAGAAATATAGCCAAATGATGTTAGATTTATGTCTTGCAGAGATTTTATGCCATTTTCTTACTGTGGAAAAGACGACGATACAGTTTCTATAGTCCAATATACTATTCGTATCACTGTTGGTGTTCATTGTTTGTTTATCCTGAAAACTATTTCAGGAAAATAAAAAACTGAACTTGCTAGTAATATAGATATAGTATACATATATATTAAGAAAGGTGCATTTACTTTAGAAGGAAAGCTGAAAATAATTCATATGTTATGAAGGTGAGAAATTTATATCTATAGTAGCTATTGCTTTCTTCATTTTAGGTAACCTTCCATTATTGAGTTAATAAAAATTCAAAAATTATTCTACTTTATTCACATTAATTTTACAAGACTTTTAAGAATTTTTAAGCATTTTACAGTTTTATGTTCTCTATGAATGTAAGATATAATATATAAAAGAAGACTAATAACTTTAATTGGCAGTAGTCCTTTTAATTCCTCTTTTTAATTTGGCTACATCACCTTCCTGCTCTAAAACTTCTAATAATTAATAATACACGAAACTAAATTGCATTACTTCAGAGTAAATCTGCTTATGCCATCTTATTTAATGCACATTGTAGATATTTTTTATTTAATCACAGATCAAAATTTCAACAAAGACTAGACTCTATAAATACCATTGTCATAACCCTTTAGGCTGCTATCACACATCAGTTTGCTTCAGAAGAACAACTGTTTGGAAAAAAATTTTCTGCTTTGTCAGAACAGCCAATCACCACAGATCACTTTAGGGGAAATTGGACTTTCATTACAAACAAGCTGATAGCTGATTGGTTGAAAATGGACAACTTGCAATTTTTTTTTAAAGGAAGGAAAAAATCATGCGTCTTTCTTTCAGTAGTAAACCAGGCAAAAAAGTTGTCCGAAACAGTTGTTTATTTGAAACAAATGCATGTGTGATATGGGCCTTAAAGGGCACCAGTTTTGTCAATTTTTTAACCTTCTAAAATGTGCTAATTTTTCTACATCAAAAGTTGTAATCTTGGGTTTCTAGTGTTTCCTTTTGATTCTAAATGGCAACTCTACACTATAAATGCTTAATATTTTGCAGTTAAGAAATTAATATTCCTTGTTCAAAGGTATCATGTTTAAAGATTCATAAATTGTATTGGAGGGGAGAAAAAAATTCAAATATATGACGTACACATACTGAACCTTATGTATTTACTGGATTTCAATGAAATCTGATAATTAAAAGGAGAATTTATATGATTTTAATAAAATATACCAGTGCTCATACTGAGGGTTCAGGTTGTGCAAAATGGCAATGAAAATTTAATAGCTTTATTTGAATTGTCTTTATTTATTTATTTTTTGTTTTTGTTTTGTTTTTTTTGTTTCAGCTAAAAGTTAACAAGTGTTATTTTTGAAATCTTCAGCCAGAGTTCGATCATAGGAAATTTCTATCAATTATTCTTTTTCTTCACAAGATAAAATTTCAGGTGCATTTGAACAAAATGGATTTCTTATCGAATTTTCTTTTTTGTAGTCCTTGGGAAAACACATGTTGAAATTTTGTATCAATGAAAAACAATGGTTTTTAATGTTGGATGCTAATTCTTCTTTTATTTTCAGTTAGAAAACTTTCTAGAGGTGGTAAAAAGCTTAAAATATTGTTATCCAATTCTTTGATTATTAACATGAGTTCTTTTTTTTAATCATTGCATTTATTTTATCTTTAATTGTAAACAGATTAACACTGTGTCTTTGTAGTCCTAAAATTAATTCATTTAATGCCGCCTAGGTGGTATAGTAGTTAGGGAAGGCTGCTGCGGTACCAAAGGGCCTGGGTACGAATCCCACAGAAGTCATGGATGTTTGTAAATGTACTGTGTCTTTGCAGCATTGGGGCAGTTGAATATATGGTGAGCCAAAAATCCTCTCATGTAGTTTGGTGGTAGGGGAAAGGGGTGGGAGACTCTGGGACCACCCCTGGGGTAATCTCGATCAAAATTGGAGTAGAAGTACTGCAACCTCTTTGAGGTTCTGGAAATCACTCATCTATGAAATAAGTGGACAACACAACAACAGTTGCTAAATAAATATGCTAAATGAGCCAACCATAATTCACTAGGTAAACAGTTTTGCAATTCAAATTCTGAATCGAAGAGGAAAATTTGTATTTCTGATCAAAGTTCAAAACAATTTTGCCTCTGGAATTACCATTTTACTTGGGAATGTGACAAAAGCGTTGTATGTTCACTACCCATCTAGTGGCATAAAATTATAAATATTCTTGAATTTAAAGCTTAGCTTTTAATAAAATTAACAATTTTCACAGCTTGATTCAAAATGATTTTCAGTTTTTCCGGGATTATTTTGGCTACTAAAGCTTCAGGATGAATGGAGCAGTGAGTAAATTTAGTTTCAGGTTGTCTTAATTGAGAAATTGCACTGGAATATTTTTCTGCTAAAGCCCGAGCTCCATCACTGCAGACAGCAATGCACTTATTCCAAGGAATATCATTCTCAAACATAAAATTGTCAATTACTTTAAAAATTTCATTTGCAATTGCTTTATCATGAAGAGATTCACAAAATAAATTATTTTCTGCAATTCATTTAGCATCTTCGAAAGTTCGTTATGTCAGTACTTTCACCCAATTCCAATGCAAAATACTCACTGTGTCTTATTTTTTGAATGAGTGTCTTTTTTATGGAATTTCCCATTTCATGAATTCATTGACTTATATCATTTGATACCGGAATATTTATTAAGTTCATTAGCTGTTTTTCATTAAATAATGTTAAAACAATATCTTGGCTGGTGGTAATATAAGGTTTTCTCTAATAGTGTGAGACTTACCAGTCTTGGCAATTCTTAGACTTACTAGATAACTAGCTTTCAAAGCTTTTTCTTATGCAGTTCCAAAATGACTATTGGTGGATATGTGATATGATCAAAACAGAAGAAAAACATGTCAAAGTGGAACATAAAATTATAAAGCAACAACCTTGTGTTTGGTGTAGATTTGAATTCTTAACTAAATCTACACCAAACACAAGGTAGTTTCTTTGCTAATTTTATGCTATAACAATGCTCAAAATTTTACATTTTACCGCTAAAAATTTCCATTTCATTTCTTATGATATAACAATTTCTCTTCGACTGTATTTTTAGTTAAATATCTTATGCATATTAATTGGATGTTTTGTGTAGCAGATTTCATAAATATTCAAGCATCAGAAATGAAGCAGCCAAAGAAAAAGTTAAAAATGAATAAATCTTCTAATGATGTTGACAAAAGTGACTCTGTAGAAGTAGGTATTCTTGCTCATTGTGTCTTAATTTTACTGATAAGTTTTTATCTTTTGGTTTAAGCTGCAAATTAATTCTCTATTAAAATTTGTCTGTGTGTGCTTTTCTTCATATATTCTTTTTGTACATAAAACCATATTGTAAATAATGAATGCATAATTTTTAATTTTTCTTTTAAAATATTAATTATAAATACTTCTTGCATATTAACTGTAATAGACATTCCATAAAAATTTATAAAAAAGCAAAAATAGTGCGGAAAATAAATTTTTTTTTAAATAATTTTTCTTGGATTACATGCAACAGTCTCTTAGTTCAATTTGCTTTCCAAAGCGTGTGGGAAAAGTGTTTTCTGAAAGCTGCATCAGTATATTCTATACTTCTAAAATACCATTTAAATTTAAAGAAAAAAAAATGAAGACCATTTTGACATTGCATAAAATCTAGTATTTAAGATTGAGCATTGATTATAAGCCTAAGAAACTGAGTTATTCGAAAAGTTATTTTGGTACTTTTCCGTTTTGCCGGCGCAAGCGATAAAGTCGCCAATAATGGTACAACCGATGCCAAACAAAATATTCTCGCTGGTAACCTTATACGCCTCATTTTCAAAACAAGTCGCAGCTTTTTCTTCGCAGATTGATTGTTTCTTTCAGTACTGGCATATAATTACATAGAATTTTTATCAGATAGTACAGTTTTATGTCTAAGGCCATTTTCGGTAATTAAGTCAATTAGGATGCAATCACAGCACTTACCCGAAGCCGAAAATATAGAAAAGGTAAAGTCAAGGGATAAATTCATCCATTCTAATGAGAAGTAAAGCACTGTGGTTTTATATAATTTCTGAGTAAGCTATTCGTTAAATTCATCCATTCTAATGAGAAGTAAAGCACTGCGGTTTTATATAATTTCTGAGTAAGCTATTCGTACGAATTTGAAATATTTCTTGCATTTAACCTTGTGTTCCAAATGAAGATTGAGCTTGAAATTAATGTAGATAATTACTGAGAGCATTAGATTTCTGTAGAGTAGTTTGCCTGAGATGAGATCGCTTGGGGTCACGTGATATGAAATGGCGAATCAGGATGTTGAACCATGAAAGCATAGTAAATTCATAAATTAATGTCTTTTTACAAATTTATTTTCTTTATTTATTGGCTTTTTATAAAATTTTAAGCGATATTAAAATGTTTATGCCTTCAAAATAAAAAATTCTTGGAACTAAAATTTTTAAATATTTTTATGTGTATACATGTTGTTGCCAATAAAGTCTGCTTGGCGAGATTTGCGCCGGCGAAACGGAAAAGTACCGTTATTTTATCCAAATCTCTTAAAAACATCTTGCACCAACTGTTATTTTATACTATAAATGTAATAAATAAAATATGTTTCTAATATCTTATACTGTTATAGTTTTTTTTTTTTTTTTTTTTTTTTTTTTTACTAAGATGGGAGTTGTCTGTGGTTGCAAATTACAAGATCCTTGAAGTCTGCCCTTGTGGACTCATAGATTTCCAAAAAACACACAAAATAAAATTGAAATTAATTTTATTGTTCAAACAACAGATTGCAGTCGTTTATCACTTTTCTCCCAAGACTGACATTTTATGAAATGTATTACAGTACAAATTCTGGATTATAGATCATCAATTTAAATCTGGTAAGATGGCATGCAGAAATTATACAATTAAAAGTATGTAACCGTAATTTATGAAATAAAGAGCAATTATGATCTAAAGGGTATCAAATTTTACAAAAATCAAAGCTTAAAATTTATTTTGTTTACTTTATGAAACGTTTCTTTCAACATACATATGCGCAAAGCATACATTACGCACATGCATAATGCACGTAATGTATGTGCGAGCATTCTTTACATGCATGCATAAAGCATACAAAAAAAGCTTGTGGCTTTGAGGTCCGGATTATAGATCATTCCGGATAATGGACGTCCGGATTACGGACTTTGTACTGTATCATTTATCTTACTTATGGACTTCCTACTCTAGTCATACCAACAAATAAGGAGTTTAAACCACTATAACCTTTTGTGCTTCATATCAGCATATGTCAAAACATGGAACAGTTATGTTAGAATCAGCAGACTGATCATGTCATTAATATGAATACCAAAATTAATTTAACTTTCAATTAATAAGATAAAGGTTTTACAAACTCTAATGGCCTTGTATAAAAAACATAAATTTTCTTCTATTAATTCTATCATTTAGTATTGGTATGAAATAATGGATTTTAATTAGATGTATGAATGGATTTAAATTAGATATATTTTCGAATATACTGGTAATAACAGATGCTGAAAAAATTACTTTTGTAAGGGTTAAGAATGTCTGTAGAACATTCTAATTTTTAAAACTGTCCTCCGTTTGAAAAAAGTTTGAGAATAGCTGGACTAAGAGACTTATTTTCTGTCACATAAATGACTCTAAAAACAAGTTGCATCTTATAATCAATGGCATGTTAAAATAGCAATTTTTACTCCAAATTTTCCTTTACTGTAGATGCCTTATCCAGGACTTTGTTTTATATATTTTGGCTTAAGAAATGATGTGCTAAAGGATAATGAAAATAGAAACATCTGTAAATTTGAAGCTATTCGCTATTAAGATGTAAATAAGATATGATCTTTTTATTATCTATTATCAACATATCAGAAAAATTGAAAAATTAAGGTATTTATTCAAAAGAAAATGAAAAATAATAAGCTTACTAATAAAGAAACTGATGCTTACTGATAAATAAATGTATATAAATATATATATATGTAAAATATAGCCAAAAAAAAAAAAAAGGACAGCTTTGAAAATAGAACCAGCAACCTTTAATTAACTTTCTGCAATTTAGGTTTTCCCCCCTAGACCAGTACTTTCCAGAGCATTCTAGCCTATTCCATAACCGCTAGTATAAATAATGAATGCGCACCATTTTACAAGCAGAAGCTCCTCTCTCCCTCTGCTAGTAAGATCTATGCTGCTGTGCTTCTCATCTTTATTTGTTAGAATATTATGACGCATTAAATTTAAAGTAATCTTATTTAGTGATGAATATTGATCTGCTTCTTCTTCTGCTTTCTGTTTCAAAATAAGAATATCCTGATGGTAGTTTACATCCAATTGCTTTTCATTCTAGAAAATTAAGATTTTATGAACAAAATTATGTAATTACTGAGCTGGAATGTTTATCTATTTTTGATGTAATTGATAAATTTTAGTATTATTTACATGGTAATCATTTTACTGTACATACTGACCGTGCTGCTTTAGTTTGGCTTAAAAATATAAAACACCCTACAGGTCGCTTATTCAGATGGTCTTTAAAATTATCTATGTATGATTTTGATATAAAGTACAAAAAAAGGATTCAACTAATTTTGAAGCTGACATGCTATCTAGAAATCCTATTTGTCAGCATTTAAGATTACAAGTCAATTTATTATCATTGGAAGAAAAAGAATGTCAAAATTTACACAATGTTTGTAATCCTGAATGTAAGAAAATGAATGATGTTTTAACTAAAAATTGTAATTCCAATGTGTCTTTGTGCTAAGTTACTTGAAAAAGCACATCTAGAATTTGGTCATATTGCCGTGTCCTCAATGCTAAATTTATTATCTCCTCAGTATTATTGGCCAGGAATTGTTCAAGATGTTAGAAATTATTGCAAACATTGTGAAGTATGTCAGTTTAATAAGAAAACTAAACAAAAAAATAAATAAATAAATAAAAATTGGTTTAATGCCAAATTTACCATTGGTCAGTGAACCTTTTGAAATATTGTCTATTGATACTGTAGGTGGTTTAAATTATTATAATTTTACTAAAAAGTATATTCACATAATTATTGGTCATGCAACTAGGTATATCTGGACTTTTTTCTTCTAAAAGTGTAACTACTGATACTTATATAAATTCCTTAAGACAAATTTTTCAAATTCAGGTACCTAAGAAAATTTTAACTGATAGGAAGGCTGCTTTTACATCTTCAAAATTTAAGCACTTTCTAAGGAATCATAATGTAAAACAATTATTAACTACTGCGAATAGATCCCAAACTAATGGTAAAATTTAACATGTTAATCAAACAATTATAACTAGATTAAAATGTAAGCTAAATTCTTATCAAGGTAATATTGCATGGACAAAATTATTACCTCAAGTAACTGAAGAATATAACAACACCCCTCATTCTGTAACAAAATTCCCACCGTCATACTTAATGTATGAAAAATTACCTTATAATTAATTCAAAAACAAGAATTATATCCACCAATAGAAGAAGCTAGAAAAATAGCTCAAAAAAGATCTGATGATTATCATAGTGTTAATAAAGAAAAATATGATACTCATTTTAAACCTAGTAATTTTAAAATAGGTGATTTAGTAATGTATGAAGAATTTCAATATCCTAATACACGTAAACTTACTCTGCCATTTTCAGGACCTTACAAATTTCCAAAACAATATTCTGAAGTCACTTATGAAATTGATAAACCTAATCCCTGTAACTAAAAAGAAATCAGAAATTGTTCATTCAACTAGACTAAGGCCTTTTAATCCAGCAAGTGAATTTAAATTAACTGTTAGAAATAGTAGAATTCCTATCTCTATCCAAAATTTTAATTTTTCAAAATTTTCTATTAAAAACATTTTCCTGGTTATGACCTTTTAATACTTGATCTAGACTTAAACCCTAACTATGACAAATTATTTTCCCGACTATGACAAATTACTTTCCTGATCTTGACCTTTTCTCAGGCTGGCTCCTTTCCTTCTTCCCTAGAGTTTTTCCGTTCAAAATTTTGGGGGTCTTGAGGGAAAATTCTAACCCCTTTTGCATTGCACTAATCCACTTTGTGCATTACATCATTCAAAATCTGGCCATCATACCAGATTTTCAATAAAGATGAATGTGCATACTAAACTGTTTTCGACACAAAATATCACACTATGTGTATTACTTCTTGTGTCCTCTCTTTAGAGAGGAAGTAAGAAGTGATAGCACTCACCTGATGTCCCCCTAGGTAATACTCCTATCACCCCTGCAAAATTTTTATCTTTTTATTTTTAATTTTGTTAGGAGAGTCTATGGTCATAACTGGCTTAGGTTTTTGTATATTTTTTCATACCAGCCACGATCTTCTGACCAAAGTTTAGCACAGAAGTGCTACCACACACACACACTTGTACACACATATTTTTAGATTATTCTGTAACAATTTTTTTTTTTTTTTCTTATTTTCTTTTCTTCTTGTTGTAGAGTAATATTCATTTCTAGTTTCTTAATTTCTAGCAAAGACTTTAACTTGATCATACAAGTTATTTGTCTTAAATTTTAATTTTGTATTTTTACAAAAACACTTTGATACAATGTACAATGCCCAAAACCAGTTACTTTTTATTAGGCAATGGAGGTTTTTTGATATTTTGTACCACGCACACCCCGTAACCATCAGCAAGCTAGTCATGCTGATCTGTTGGAGAGGGCATGCCAAAGTTTTTATTCAAGATGTTATTGTTTTATGAAATATTACATTATATTATTAGAATTGTTTTTTTAATCATAGTGTTTTGTATTGAATTTTTAAACTATTTTAAAATATGTCAATGTATTGTTAATTACTTACGATGTGAAGAATGAATGCACATAATACATTATTTATAAATTGTATATCTTCTAAGTTTTATGTGAAAAAATTTTAAATATCTTCTGTTCAAAAATTATTATTGAATCATATTTATTGGAAAAAGTGCATAATATTTGTGAACTTATTAGTCTAGAAGATAAAAGTACTGTCATCAAGAAACTTCACCAGTATCGTCATTCAAGGAAAAGGACTGTTTAATGGAAATTTGAGAAAAATTCATGACTTTATGCTTGTAATTTATTTATTATTATTCTTCCATATGAAATTTAGTTATATGTTTATTTATAAATCATTGTAGAATTGTATAATTCAAAAACTTTATATGAGAAAAGTTCATGATTCGTGATAGGACATAGTTAAAGCCTGTAAGCTATGTCCTCGATGTTCCTTCATGTCTTTCCTCATACTTCTTGCTTCACTAATCTTATAATGCTTTGCTCATCCGGCCCCTTGTTTTTGAGGGGGGGGGGCAGGAGATGTAAAATATTTTTTTAAAAATAGGATGGCTTTGCTCTATGCAAACTAGCAACCTTAATTAACTTTCCGCAATTTAGGATATTCCCCCTAGACTAGTACTTTCCAGAGCATTCTAGCCTATTACATAATTGCTAGTATAAATAACAAAGTAAATTTAAAGTAATCTTATTTAGTGACAAATTTCGGTCTGCTTCTTGAATTGAAATAAAGCATGGAGCTATAAACTTAAGTCCTATTGTGTCGCCTTGACACTCAGCCACAGCAATGCCAAGCTTCGTTATTCATGTCCGTATCATCATATATATATTTATCATAGCATATTTTGAAGAAGTATTTATATATATGTAAAATGCAAGTTCTAGAAAGATATGAAAAAAGTAATTGAAGTATAAAGTATTCAAGTATTACTTTTTATATATCTGGTTTTAACGAAAGTTTTCTGCCAAAAAGTGTTCTTAATAAAGTTAGAAAAAAAAACATGAAAGCAGTACCTTTAGTACAGATAGTAATCACCACCTAAATCTATGATTTTCTGGCAATGTTTTGGTAGTTTTTCAAAGCCTTCGGCTCAGATCTGTGGCCACAAGTTTGAAAACAGATCAACATCATTTCAAACAATGGAAGATAACACAAGCAAGGTATAGCTGCAGGTGTGTAAAAAAGATAGAAGTCCAAAGGAGCAACATTGGGGCCATATCATGCGTTGGCAAAAAGATCCCATTTAAGTCTGTATAGATTTCAGCCAGTGAATGCAGACACATGTAGTCTTGCATTATCTTGATGGAACATTACCTTTTTGTGCCAGAACTTTTTTCCTCGATAGCAGCATTAATGCAGACTAGCATCTCACTGTACAACTTACTGTCAAGGGTTTTACCTTTTCCCAGATACTCTTTGTGGATAATACACCACAGCAATCCCACCAGATATAAAGCATGAAATTTTTGTTAGTCAAATTACACTTTGTGATACTGTAGATGGGCTCACTGCACCCAGGCAACCCACTTTTGGGCCTGTTTTGTTGAAGTAAATCCACTTTTTCATCACAAGTGATGATCCAATCCAGAATTTTGCCCTTGCGTTGATATCGGGCCCGAACATATCTGTCCTTACCTACTTGAGTCAGCTCATGCGACGCCCAGCAATTGTACATCAAGTTTATGCGATGCATTGCGCGACTAATGGACAGGGCAGTGACGTCTAACTTCCTAGCAAACTCATGAGTGGTTGCATACTGATCTTCTTCCACAAGGCAGTAAGTCCTTATCAACATCAGTAGGCCAGCCAGCTTCTTGAATGTCATGGTCCTTGAACTTCCGGTATCAAATCTTCATTATGTCAATGATACAACATTAGTATCTAAAGCTGTACACATGATTTGGTGACATTCTGTAGCTGACGTTTTTGCAACAAAACTGAGTATGATAATTCGATTTCAGACACCTTGTACTTAATGATAATTATATTTTTTTACAAATTTCGCAACACAGTGTACTAAAACAAGTCTTTTTCTTTTGAATGCCAAAAATCATTTGACAAAATATGATTAAACATGCCAATCTGAACTGTTTGCACAGATGATATTTGCAGTATCGGGGGAAACTTTCATTAAAATCCGATATTTTATTAATACAAATATATCTCGTATAATCACGTAGTATATTAATCTGTATTTTGTAGAATCTTTTAGCAGTATTCAATAAAGAAATTACAAAGAAGTTGGATTTCATTGAAGGAAGATTAGACTTCTTATCTGAAAATTTTGATGTTCTAGAAAAAAAAGTTGAAACTATAGCTTCACTTCTTGACCTTCAAAGAATCACATTAAGGTATATTATACATATGGATTTGCATCATTTGCATTGATCATATTCTTTTTCTTAGGAATAGCTTTATTTGTTTTGTCATTTCAAGTCAAGATAAAGGTGCATTAATTTTATATTTTTTCCTCATATAATGTGTATGTTATATCTGTAAACTGTTTTCGTCATGTTTTCTGCAATATCTGTGTCCTTACAAATCCCGAGCTTTTAACTGAGATTAAGCAGCCATGCAGAGTTTTCTTTTTTTTTTTTTTTTAATTATCAGAAGAAAGGAATGAATAGCTTAAATAAAGATTAAAATGCTGTAGTCCATAATTGACAGTCTTTTTTCATGTTGGGCCATATGAAATGTTTTGTTATTAACTTTATTTTGGATTGTTATGTTATCAACCTTATTCTAGTATGAGATAAGTTATGAATTGATAAAAATATTTTCTACTGAAATTCCGCAGGTATATATGGATGTTTTTAATTTGTAGAAATATCGCAGTGCATTTTCTTGTTGCTGTCCAATATAGCAATTTGTAAGATTTTTAAGTTCGGGTTGCTTCTCAGTATGCCCAAATCTTCATCATTTTGAGAGTTTGCTGTAGTGTGCATGTCTATTATAGATGGCACAGGAATGGTGTCTATATAGGGAGAGTATGTCAGCAACAGTATTTTCATCCCCTTGGATAATTTGGATACCAGTTGAGAACTATCCAATGTACGACAGTTATCTAGCTTGCTGTGGCAAGTCTTTTTCCAAATCTTATTGGAAAGCAACTATATATTGTAAAAGATCGACATGCATTTGAAGTGTTACATTGCTGTATAGATGGCTAATAGTTCTCTGTCATAGGCACTGTTTTTTTTTGTGTTGGTGTCAAAGTTTAAGAAAGAAAGTCAAGGGTTGCTTTTCATTGCCCACAATCGGATGTAAAAAATATAGCTCCAATGGTTGTGCCAGAGACATCAGTTGTCAATGATATTTGGGGGTTTTTGGATGGTGAGTGGCAGTATGACTAAGTGCATCTTTTACAGGTCGCAAGGTGTTTCTTTTTTCTTCCATTGAGGTTATTTCATTTCTGCAGTTCTTTTGGTATTGGTATGTTGTTAAAGATTGTTGCAGTTTTGCACAATTTGATATAAATCTATGATTCACTATACCTTAAAATCATCTTAAATTAGTGAATGACTTTGGTTCCAGGAAATTATTGATTGTATCAACTTTTATTGAAAGAGGTTTTAAGTACTTCAGCTGTCACTTCGTATCCTAGGAATGCAAGTTTAGTTTGACCGAGTTTACATATTTCCATATTAATACTCGAACCATATTCATTTAGTCTTCTGCTCATATATGTTGGTGATGAGTTTTTTCATAAGGAGAGGCTATTAGAATGTCATCCAGATAGCAAAATATGAATTCTTTCATTCAGCACCTTGTTCATAAAACGTTGGAATATTTGGGCCGTATTACGTAAGCCAAACATCATGAATGGCAACTGAGATAAGTTGAGGGCTGTGAGAATAGCTGTTTTTGATATATCTTCCTCATGAACCAGAATTTTTCGGTATACTCTAATGAAGTCTATGGATGAGAAACGTGTTCTCGCTAAATTGTAACTGCAGTCTGTTAAAAATGAAAGCGGATATCTATCAGGGGTCATGATGTTGTTTAGCATTCGATTGTCCCCACAAGGTCTCCAATCATCTAATTTCTTTAAAGTAAGATATAGCGGGCTTGACCAGTAACTCTTGGATGGTCTGCATAAATCCATTTGGAGCATAAATTCAAACTCCTTTTTAGCCACTTTGAGATTATCAGCTCCTAGCCATGTGAAAACAGGTGGACCTCTGATTTCGATGTAATATTTGATGTTATATTTTTAAATTTATCATTAACTACATTCAGTTTTTACAAATCCAGGAAATCGTTAATAACATTTTTATATGGAGGATGTCCGTGTCACAAGTGAAGTGTCTTGTATGTAAGTATATACTAAAAACACTTCTATGACTCCAATAAGATTAATATTTATTAACATTTATTCATATTGAATCTCACAAACAGAAAATTGGCCATTGATCCTTAAATTTTATGGTGGCTTGATGTTGACACTCCTCTTTTACTTAATTTAATCAAAAACTTGATGATGACACAATAAATCGATGTGACTGAAGCAACACTACACTGGATGTAGCTACTTCTTTTCCAGAAGCCAAATGTTTTTGCTTCTGAAGAAGAGAGACCAATATTTGAACATCTTTTGAATTGAAGTTTTATTCAAACTGCATGCTAGCCTAAGATTGCTTTTTTGCTTAATTTTGAAGATCAGAAGTTATTACCAGTAGATGAAGCTTAATATCTTTTCATTTATTTTTCATGTTATAAGCATATGCAAAGGAAGCACTTAAAATGTTATTTTATTTATACTGCTTAATAATATTTTATGACAAGGGTTATTTATTCTATGACATTAGAAATACTAAAACATATTTTTACACACGGTAACAGAAAGCAGAAAGTTCAGGGTACTCATCCAGATGAAAAGCAGTCATATTTTGTCCAGTCATACAAAGAGAACATGTAGGAGAGTATGCAGTTGTGCCCAGTAATATATGATTGCAAAAAAACTTCTAAATCTTATTGTTATGAACACTTTCTTTGTCAAAAGTAAAAGGATAATGGTTTTCTAGTGGTGTATAGAATGTTATCTTCTCTTGCTTTTTCATTCCCTCAAAAAATGTAATTTACTATTTTGATATTTTTTACTTTGTGTTATTATGCATTCAAAATTGAAATGTTTTTATTTACTATAAAAAATTTTTATGAATTGGTAACAGTAGGTGTTTATGTACGCACTAGTGTACACTATTCGAATCACGAATGTCGCTGCCTACACATCTAAACTATCTACGAGTATCTAAAATGCCCATCTAAATTTCTGCAAGCGATGGTAGCTATATTCTATGATCAAGTATTCAATCTAGTTTAAAAGGATTATTAAATACTAAAATAATCTAATCTAGAATCGAATCTAATGTTACATCAGGAGCAGCGTTCTAGGCGTTATAACAAATCGAAATCAAGTTCATGTGCCATCTGAGGGAGAAAAGTTTGTCAATCAAACGAAACGGCCTGTGAAGTTTTAGTTGAACGGAACATCCGGCGGGACATGTCCAACTCATTGGATGGGAGGTGGATGATATTGGAGCGGCTCGGGAAAGATCCATCTGAGTTCTGAGTCTACGACTCGTACTGTCATTTGGACAGGAAAGGCCTCAGTGCAGCTATGCCTTCATGGGGTCTTGTTTTATCCTTAACAAGACTAGTTGTCTGCCTTGAGATTGGATCTCTGATTCCATTTGAGCGGTTCTGCCCTGATTAAGATAGTCCACGCGCCAACAGTTCCAGAACTTAGCTCTAAGTTTTTGAATTAATGTCCATATAGAACAGGTTAAAGAATTCAGATATTTGTTCTGGTATCGACAAAGGGGAGCTCATATAGGAAATAACTGGTGCAAAGGTGAAGATTTGGATCAGAAATAAGTGAAGAGTCGAGAGCCAAGCAGGCTCATTTGCTAATTAAGTATAAGCTTTAAAGTTCAATTGTCGTTTCACGACCTTGTCAAAATTCCTTTCATTGATTTATTAGCTCCAAACGCCAAAAGGGGGAAGACGGAGGAATAAATCTCTGTTCTCCCTTCTCGGACCGAAACGCTAACTAGGAGCTATCTCAACTCTCCGATTTATCAAGAACATTGCGTCCTTGAAGTTCATAGCGTATCACTCAAACAATGGATGTTTAGATCGTCTGCAATAAACTTCTAGACATGCTACAAGTCAGTGCCCAATTGATTCTTCTCGAGCCCGCTTTGTACTAGCACCTACTTATGCGATATGATTTTACTAACTCTAGATCTTTTCCAAAGGCTTGGTGATACTGGCCTGCAAAGTCCAGTCCTTTTTTCAAATGGTCTAGTTATTAACTCTATCTTAGGTACGCCCCTCATTGGTTTCTGGTTGTTCCTTGTGCGCCGCTGTCAGCATACTTCGCGTCTAACTCATCTTGTCGGAAAGTCCAGGAAAGTTATAAGAGAAGTGTTGTTGATCGCCCGAATGCCGAGTTTTTGTCATAATTCTGCGCATCCCGGAACCGATTTCTTTTGGGTAAAAAAGTTGATGTGTAAAGTCGACCAGTTTACTTATGAAGTAATCTGCTCGATCAAAACAGCCTATTTTGTCACTGATTCAAGAATCGCTCCTGTTCCCTATATCTCTGTAATTTGGAAACGCGGGCTCCGGGAAGTAAATAGTTGAACATTTTAAGTTGAAGCTTCAATTTCTATATTTAGGGATGGTTCACTCAGTTTTCTAGTTTGACTCTAACAACGTTGTAAGTTTGTTCTGTTGCCTGGTTAACCCAAAGCAAATACGGACAAAGTTCTTTCGAGACAGGTAATTACACTTCTCTGAAAGTCCCGAATTATAAATTCTCATGATCCCTTGCCTAATGAATACGAACTGGTTCTAAATTATCCTTCTCAGAAAAAATGGAGTATCATCACAGTCACGTTGTTAGCAATGCACTGCGGAAAAGTTTCGGTTTTATGACTAATCTGACATCTTCTTTACTGGATGGAATTGTCGACACGACCTCGTTTTTCCCCGATTTGGTTTGAGTTGGAAACAAATAGACATATGTGTTTTTTATTAATATTTCCATTTTTCTTTCTTACACGCTAATTTATGCTGAGATTTTAAACACAAAAAACATCGGCTTGAGATTTTAAAATAATTCTTTTCTCCTCCCGGTTTAATTTCGCGCGCTCGAATCGTGTAGTTGTCCCAATATATGCATTACTGCTAGCGACTGGAGTAACATATCATACGTTTTAGGCAAAATTCTTCAAATGTTTACTGTGCTTGTTGTTACATTGTGAGCGGAGAGGAGACGATCGTTTGATTTTGCCTCCAGTTATGAATCATTCCCGCTCGGTGTTGTTTTTTTTTTCTCTAACTCATTTAATTGTGTAGCTCTTTCGCGGCTTCTATTTGTTTACGAATATATCCCATTAATTGTTAACGTCCATGTTTTACTGCGACTGTATTCTAATGTTATCTCTGATGGAATTAATTTTAACAATATTGGGCAAAGTAACTACCGTAAGTTCTGATACGCGTCATGACTTAAGCATCTAATTTGAGTTTCACACTGATCATATAAATTCCTAAGATTTTCTATATCCCTTACTTTTCTAACAGGGGAAAGATTTAATAGTTTATTCATGTGGGCATTTATTACCAAATCTTTTCTCCCAAACCTGCTAATTAACAGTTCTATGGCTGAATCGTAGTTCTCATTTGTAAGCGAGAGTCCGGAAACGGCATTATAAGCTACCCCACCTAGTAATGACTTTAAATAACTGAATTTATTTACTTTCGATAATGAGTCATTGTTATGGATAGCTGCCTCGAATTGACTCCAAAATTCCTGCCAATTGCTAGAATCACCAAAAAATTTAGCGATAGTCAATTTCGGGAGGCGAATAGTTTTGTTATTTTCAAGTTTGGAATCTATAGCGGTTTCATTAGGATCCGAATTTTCAAGTTTGTATAATTCCCTCAATTTTTTTCTTGCTCTAAATTGCCACAGTTGGATTTTTTCTTCATATTCTAGAGCGGATGAAACTTCAAGTTCCAATTCATCCTCTGGGATCTTCAATTCCTGTTTATTTGAGTGTTTTAATCACTCAGAGTTTTGCTTTTCGGTTTAATATGTCTAAGTTTTCTATTACATTTATACTAACGTATCTTTGTTTTTTAATTCTGTCTCAATTTCTTTAGTACCTTGGACACTGCGGTCCTTAATACTTGCGTTTCGATTTAAAACTTCGCGACAGGATCTTCCATAATTACTTTAAAATAGAAAATTATCCTACCTTTTGCAAGGCTTCGCACACTTCCACTGTGGAACCATAGTTACGAATCCATATTACGAATATTAGCTGACTTCCCGGCCGATGCACCAAAAAATGTTTATGTACGCACTAGTGTACACTATTCGAATCACGAATGTCGCTGCCTACGCATCTAACTATCTAACGACGTATTTAAATGCCACATCTAAATTTCTGCAAGCGGTGGTTCAGCTATAATTCTATGATCAAATATTCAATCTAGTTTTAAAAGGATTTATTAAATACTAAAATTAATCTAATCTAGAATCAAATCTAATGTTACATCTCAGGAGCAGCGTTCTAGCTGCGTTATAACAAATCGAAAGTCAAGTTCTCACTGTTGCCATTCTAAGGCAGAGAAAAGTTTGTTTCTAATCAAACCGGAACATCGGCATAGTGAAAGTTTCTAGTTAAACCGGAATAGTAGGTTTGATTTTTCATTTATTTCATGGTATTATGTTCTCTGATATGCTATGATATAATTTGAAGTTATTGGAATGCAAGTAACAACTTTTTAATTTCTTTATAGGACAGCAGGTGAGTGATATTTATTGACATAAACAAAAATTCAATTGTCATCAATAATGGGAAATTTAACTTATCATTCTTTCCCAGTTCCATGTAATGGTTATCAAGATAACACTGCAGCTGCTATTTCTGTTTCACCCAGAGTAACATTTATTACTCTAAATACTGAAGGTAAATATCATATCATTGTTATTATGATCTCTTGATTTATTATTATTATTATTATTATTATTAATGTGTCAGTATTTAAGTGTTTAAATTTTTAGCTTGCCTCGTAGTAATTTTTGATATTCTTGATTCACGATATTCATTAAAATGTATTCTGTGGATTTTAGTATGTGAGTAGAATTACAGTAGTTAAGCAAAATATGTGTTCTTAAAATTTCTGAAATGATCTAAATTTAATCTTCAAATATTATGACACTATTAATAATATTAAATTTGCTTTTTTGTTCATATTAAAATATGGTAAGCAGATGTAAAATCTTATCAATCAAAATAAACCTTCAGTACAATACAGAATTCTTTGTAATATATGCTTTATAGGTTTAAAAGTAATATATATATTTATATATGCAATAAAACCCTGCTTAAGTAACCAAAATGGAGGGAGAAAAGCTTCAAACCTGTGAGTCATCTCTCCCCCATTATTTATTTATTTATTTATTTTGTACTGTTTCATTCTTCATGCAAATACTTATTCTCTGATGAAGAAAATGGTATTAATACATTATCTACAAAAAGAGAGAACTGCAAGTTGAATTTATGTTGATGAGATATTTAAATATCAATATTCATTGACACATTATAGCAGTTCAAAGTTGTGTTACTCTAAAAGAGTTACATGAAAGTGGCCAAGCTACTAAAAGTGAAAATACCAAAGATTCTAATGAATGCTAAAATATTTTGTAGTTCTCTAATTGATTATCTTGCCATTCTAAGAGGAAACTTGTTAATGGCCAACCACTAATATTGATAATATTTCCAGAAATAATTATTTTTTGAAAAAAAATTTTTGTATTTATTGGATCTAAGGATTTTTGCATATTTTTCTAAGCTGTAATTTTTTGTAAATATGTTTTTAAAATATAGTAGTATTAATTTTTATCATGCGTTTTTTAGACTTTATTTTTTGTCATTCAGTTCAGTAGTTTAATGGTAATTGTTTTTATGTTAGTTTTATCATCCTTCCTATAAATGCTGATATAGACTTTTTTTCTTTAAATGCAAATCTCAGTCTAAACGAGAAATTCTTGAATTTGCTTCATGTAAAATTCAAGCATTTAAAAATTAAATTATTATCAAAAATGATATGCACAGAATAAGTAATTTCCATTCTTTATGAAAATTAGCCTAACTGTATTTAATCAAGACATACTGAGTGTCCTGTTTCAATCAAGGCCAAATCAAAAGTATCAATAAATCTTTTAAGATCACTCATTATATTTTATACAGTGGTACCTCGGTATATCTCATTAATCTGTTCCAGGTTCCATGGACTTGTACCATACTGGATGTACACTAAACACATTTTTCCAATTAGAAATAACAGGAAAATAATTAATCCATTCTTAGGAGAAAAAATTATATTATTATTATAACACTATTTGATACTAAAATGCAAATGTTTATTGTATGTAAATGAAATTTATCAGATTTGTCTATCTCTTTTTTTTCCGTTAAGTTCTTACTATGAACTGGCTGAATATCACCAGGTTGGTTGGTATGTGTTGTGCCCTTTGAGAAATAAAGTGGATCCATGCATGGAAATCGCTGCTTTTGCCAGTTCCACTATCTTTTGACTATACAGCTCTCCCTGGAAAGGCCATTCCCCCAAGCTTTGCACAGCTGAAAGTATTGCCGGACAGGTCAAGATGTATTCTAAAAGCTCCATGTCGAGGCAGTTTGCAAGTTCTGTATGATCTGGTACCATTAATTTTCATTTCTCCAAAATGGCAGGTTCTCAGTCTAGTAATTGTCTTTGTAATTTCTCTGCTTGCATCAGTCTCACATATCTGATGGTCTTTCTTTATAGATTTCTCTGAGTCTATATCAGGCAATGGCATTAGCATCTTCAAGAATGACAGGGATTGAGTAGTAACGCCCAGATATTTTGGTTCATCCACCTAGCTATCCATGAATATGGTAGCTTGAAAAGATTTTTTGCATTTTCGATCTGTGAAGAAAATTGCCTAGCTTGTTTTGAGAGGCTTTATCTTTAATTTTAGCTCTCTCGACCATGCCAGAATGCCTCCAAGGGTTGGTTTAATGATTTCTCAGACTTTTCTGTGTCTTTGCTTGTATGCTAGATTGCTGTATCATCTGCTTAACAAGCAACTCTGGCGTCCCCATCCAGGAATTGGTGAATATTGTTAGCATACAAAAAGGAATAGTAGGGGGCTGAGAACCTAGCCCTGAGAGACACCAATTCAAAGGTCAGTTTGTAGATATTGCCATGTCTGGCCTTTATTAAAAATCTGTCATGTTAGCCAGCAGCATCATTGTTTTCACAATCATTGTTGTTCACATCATACAGTATACGTATATGTTTATATATATACAATATACATATATTAGCCAAGTCCTGGATATCACGCCATCTTCATATTTTTCAACAATCTCTTTCTTTTTTCACCATCATGATAATCCTAATCATTTACTTCATTGCTTGCTCTTATCATTTATTATTTTAAAACTCATTGTTAATAAATTTACAAAACATTTATGTGAAATACACAAAATCACATGAAATTCAGACTGTTTACTGACTATTAGCAGCAGGCATACTGATGCTGATGGGCAGTTGTAACGTTGTCTCAAAAGAACTAAGTAAAGGTGATTTAAATTCACTCAATAATGATTCAAAAACTCAGGTCATATTCCAAACAAATATCATATACCAAACGAAAATTTTTGCATCCAAATAGGGTGTATATACTGATGCTGATGGGCAGTTGTAACGTTGTCTCAAAAGAACTAAGTAAAGGTGATTTAAATTCACTCAATTATGATTCAAAAACTCAGGTCATATTCCAAACAAATATCATATACCAAACAAAAATTTTTGCATCCAAATAGGGCGTATATACTGATGCTGATGGGCAGTTGTAATGTTGTCTCAAAAGAACTAAGTAAAGGTGATTTAAATTCACTCAATTATGATTCAAAAACTCAGGTCATATTCCAAACAAATATCATAATAATATATATAATATAATAAGTCTTTATATTTGAAAATAAAATATAAAGGCCCTTATAGGTGCTTACTTTTTTTTAAAAGCCCCTTATTTTTTTTTTTATTTATTTATTTAATTTTTTTTTTTTTTTAAAAAGTGGTTTTTTTTTTTTTTTTTTTTTTTTGAACGCGCTAGTGCACGAAGAGTACAGACAGGTGTCTGTCGTTCTATTGGTCAAAGAATTGCGAAAGCAGTAGAAAATTCCGCTACATTCGGCATTCTTTTCCTCCCACCCAAATACTACACACGTTTGATTTTCTATCAAGTTCTTAAAAAGATTTGCATTCTCGTTCTGCTTGGTCAGTTCATATTCATGTTTTCGTGTTTATTATGATTGTTATACTTATATTATGAGCATAGTATGTATGAATGTTTATAATAACATAGTTGCAGTAACTGCTGAAGTATAGTAAACTTCCAAAAATGGTTGTGTTTTAACACAGATTAGCTTTCTAAGGAATAATATTCGGAATGGCTTAAATAAAGGGAAAGTAATCGAATAGTCAAAATAATTTCATTTGTTTGGCCGACATTTTAGTTAAAAAAATAAGCACCTATAAACACTTTTCAAGCACATTTTAAGAAAAAAAATAAGCACCTGCCTAATTACATCATACACAACTGCATCACCTTAAATAAACAATAATAAGGCATATTTATTGTATTCACTTGGAACCTAACAATAAATACAATTTATTTTTCCACTCATATTGATATTTAAATCTAAATTCTGAAGATTTTCTAAATTTTCATTGTATATCAGTTTTCTCTTAACCCTTTAACTGTCAAGTTATTTTGATGATTTGGGTACACAAATTGTCAAATTTTTCCCGAGATACAGTCGTGTTTGACAAAAAGATGAAGCCGAAATAAACGTCCCCCGATATATATTCGGGTATAACAATACGATGCACTCAAAAAAAAAAAAAAAAAAAAAAAAATTACCCCGAGTAATACTCGGGCGTGACATTTTCAAACACCAGTGCTGTACCCGAGATTATCTCGGGCATGACAGTTAAAAGGTTAATAGATATTGCAAGCAAAGTAATTTAAGTAAAAAAGAGGAACATTTCTGAAATTAGAAGATAGAAATTTGCTTCATGCAGTCATCCTTTAACCAGTAAAAGCTTTAACTAACCCGCATACTTGGAAATTGGCGACCATATTCAGACAGTCCAGTGTAACTTGAAAAAGAAGAGCAGAGGGGGATGGGTAGACTGTAGCCGCTCTTTAGATTTTTCCGCTAAATAAACGCTTTTGACATTTCGATATGTGCATCATCTAAAAATAAACCAACCGAACTAAAAAATATTCCGCTTAGAAGCACAGTAAAACTCTTTAAGTATTCATAAACAAATCTCGGACTGAACATCAAAATTAATTATCTCTACAAAATATCGCAAACGTTATTGCGTAATATGTGCGCCGTAATTCTTCCCTACATGATAATTACGCAATCGGATTCAACAGCTGCCGGTAATGGGAGAATAAAGAACTAAATAAAGGAAATGAAAGAGACTTACTAATCTGGAGTGTTTTTCATTCTAATTTTCAACAGACTGTGTTATTTGTGGAATAGAATCATTCTTCGCTCTTCGCTTGGGTTGGTAGACCACAGAACTTTTAGTCCTATTCAATCCAGATTGGAAAGTTACCCCCCCCCAAAAAAAAAAAAGGTCCGTTGCTTGTTTCGCAGCGAACTGTAACAGTTTCAGTATTCAAGATTTTGTGGAGAAAGGGGAGACCTCCCAACCTTCGTACTGTATCATGTACAACAAAAACAACCACTTAGACGAGTTCATTTTAAAATTTAGAGGAGCTCACTTTCTTCATGTCTTGAGGAAGGAGAACACTGATTAATAGAGATTCAATAACATGAATCATTATAGATTCACAGTCTGCTGTATAAGAAGTTTTTATTCAAGGAATGTTAAAAATTCTAAGCCAGCATTTAAAATTTTACAAAGAATTTTATTTGTGTTTGAAGCACTCAAATTTTCCATGTTTATCACAATGCACATCTTTAAATGAATGGTGTCTTTTACGTTTTACTCATTTTAATCATTATGCCATCATTGTCACTTGGATTATTGATATATTTTTAGCTTCTCGTATTTCATCCTCTTCATCCCACAAAATCTACAAAGTTACGTAATTCACCATTAGAATCCTTAAAAATTCTTTTTCATAATCTGAATTATCTGATTTCTTTAGAAGTTCTAAAATTTGACTTGAGATTTTCATGGCATTTAACAGTTATATTTAATAAATAAATCTTTTAAAAAATTTGTGAAAAATTTTGCCAAACCTCAATCAAAATTCACCTAGAAATCTTTAGAAGTACAATTAAAAGAAAAAGTAAGTAAAAATGTATAACTGTAGTAGAAATGGAATCATTTCATTAAATGATAGAAAGAATATTATGGTTTCTGGAGGTGTTGCCATTTATTATAGTGAATGCAACTTGCACATGAGCAAAAATGTGTCTGTAGGGGCACAGTAGGGTTGAAAGATGCAACTAAGTAGCCTGGTTAACTTATTAAGTGTAATAATATTTTTATCTAATTACACTCTTGCAAAAAAATCGAAGCACCATGAAGGAAGTGGTTGTTTTTGAAGAAATTGAATATGTGTATAGCTCATATACAGATAATAAAATGATTAAAAAATTAAAGTCATAGTACATGTTCGCAGCTCACAATCACCCATTGAGTGCTGAAATTAGAAGTGGGTCGAACTGCCCCTGGCGGCAATGCATGCTTGAATTCATCGAAGCAAGGAGTGGTAGAAGTTTCTAATGTCATCCTGAGACACATTCTTCCAGGCATTCATCAGTTGTCACTCCAGATCTGCAATATTTTGTGGTGCTTGAGTCTGGCGGCCTACCATGTCTCAAGCATGCTCGATTCATGAAAGGTCTGGTGACCTTGCTAGACAAGGAAGAGTATCAACCGCACAGAGGTATGCAAGCGATATGTGGCCTGGCATTATCTTGTTGGAAAATGGCAACAGGATGACGTGCCATGAAGGGTAATGCAACCAGCCGCAGGATGGTATCAACATATCGTTGAGATGTTAAAGATGTATGGAAGATGATTAAAGATGACCTGCTGTCATAAAAAATAGCACCCCACACCATCACACCAGGGGTTATGGCTGTATGCCTTTTCAAAACAAAAGCTGATTGGGACCACTGGCCCCGTCCTCTCCAGACACAAACATGGTAGTCATCTGCTTCAAGAGTGAAGCAAGATTCGTCGCTGAACACTATACGATGCCAGTCTGATAGCAGCCATGATGATCAACTGCAACAGCACTCCAGACGACTCCTGTGTATGTTGCGAGGTCAGAGGCAAATATCTTAAAGGCCTCTGTGAGTGTAACCCTCTCAGACAAGACCAATGAGATGGTGGACCGTACCGTGGGAGGTATAGACTTGGCTGTAGTGCGTTGAATAGTTGACAATGATACCATTGGGACGGTTCGGCCTGGCAAACAATCATCCTATCTTGCCTCAAATTTGTGCTCCTTGGCCTTCCAGAGCCTTCATTTCGATGGCAATTTCCTTGTAGCAAACCATTGCTGCCGAACATCCTTTGCACAGCAATGTCTGTACACTGCAGGTGGCGACCTATTGCTCGGTATGAAACACCCAGCTTCATGCAACCCTACAATGCGACCACGTTCGAAGTCGTTTAGTTGTCTGTAAGGTCTTCAATATCATCATAATGGCATCTTTAGTTGCTTTATGGAATTATAATGGCAGCAACAACAAAAAAAAAAAAAAAAAAAAATTGCCTCTGTTACTGGTTTTATACTATAAATTTTTAGCCTCTGTTACTGGTTTTATACTTTGTGAATTGTGCACTATGATTGCAATTCCTATTCATTTGCCTTGAAACTTTGATTATTTGACCATTGGGACGGTTCCATTGGACAGACCATTGGGATCGATCAAGATGTTTTTCCATACCAAATTTCCTCATGATCACAAAGTCCTTCTTAGTGCTTTGATTTTTTTACAAAAGAGTGTATATACGTACATTTACATGATTTTCTAATAGCATATTGACACTCTTATTTTAAGTCACAGGAAAAGTATTTCAGAAGGTATGATTGTTTGATTGTTCTTCAGTCTCTTGTTTGCTGGTATTTCATAAAATATGATTATTTCTGTTGTTTTCTGTAATGATTTTTATTTTTTATGCATGTTATGAAATTTAGATAAAGTTCATAAAAGAATAGATGTAGCTCTACAGTAACCATAACTGTGTTCTAATACCTAAATAAAATTTCCAGAAGATTATCCAAATGGTTCTTGGTTAGGAGATGAAAACAATCCAGAGGCTAGAGTACGTTGCCATATCTCACCTATGTAAGTACAGTGTATCTAATAAATTTTGTAATTGAATTCATACTTTGAGTTACTTTTGTATTTTATTATATATTATGTATTTCAAAACTTGCAATTACATTTTTACAGGGATCTTTTTCATATTAACACAACTTGTACAACAGCTGAAAAAATGGCTCTTACTCTGTTAGATCACCTGTTTGATAGAGAAACACAAGCTTGTTCTAATATATCTGGTATGGGAAAACATAGGAAGAAACAGCTAGATCCACTATTCATTTATGGTATTAGATGTAAGTGTGATTTGTACAATAAATTTATTTCAAATGTATACAGTACAAAGTCCGAAATCCGGACGTACATTATCCGGAATGATCTAAAATCCGGATCTCAAAACCACCAACAAAATTTTTCTCTTAGGCTTTACACATGCGCATTTCATTTCACTCTCTGTGTATAATAAAACATCTGGAGAGTCCCGATTCTTAATTTCACTAAATAAAATAAACACTAAATAAAATACTTTGTTATTGAAGAAACAATCGTTTTAGCATAAATTTGTACGATCAGTAATTTGGCTTCATTGCTGCGTATTTGCTTGGCATGCATCTCAAACCGAAACATTCCACATAGTTACATCGTTCATCTGATGGCAACCTGGCGAATCATTATTTATTATACTTTTCTTTCATCATCGCATGTTTATCAAAACATGACAACTTGAGTAATGAGTCATGTAGCGATGCCTAAACAATTTTTTTGTGTTAGTAACTGAATAATAACATAACCTTTTATCTTATGTTATTATTCAATTACACTTGGCAGTGATTACAGATTTAAGTTAAATGTGCTAAAAAATGTTGACGAGGAAAAATTTACCAAAAATTTCTTTCCATGTACTCAAAATAAATTTTGTTGATACTCATAGACCCAAAGATTACATTTAGGGTTATTTGAATTAAGAATAACTGATTTGTTATTCACATAAACCCAGAACCAGTGCCAGGGCTCATATGGCCGCGCCGAGTCCCAGAATTCAGGAACCACAAAAACTGCATCAGGCAGTAAGATATCTAGCGAAGACCCTCAATAAGGCTTAAGTATATGGGGGAATTTATTTCTGATAAGCCTTAAGCCTGTGCAACAAATAGACATAAGTATAATAAATAATTAAACTAATACAATTCAGGCTTTATTGTCTCGGTTCGCAATAGAGAAGCAAGATAAAATATATGGAACAACTTGTCATTAGTCGCCAAGCTCATGATGCAAGGATAGCCAAATTTGATGATGACAGCTGGTAATTTTAAAGTTTTTCGGACATCACAAAACAAAGGTGAAATTTTCCAATTAAAGGATTTTGTAAAGAAATGTGAAGAAGCAGTAATAAATGAAGATGACATAAAATAATTTTTTCATTGTGGTGACAACGCTTCTCAATCATCAGTCAATTAATCAATGGTGAAATCTGTAGTGTGGTTCTAAATCCAGAAAATACTACTACCGATAGTTAAGAAAGTGACAGAGAAGTTACTGAAAATGAGAAAATTTCGATTGAAAAGTTAGTCAGAATTCTCGAAACAGCAGTTACAGGACTTCAACAATGTAATTAAACACAAGAGATTATCTCTGTCTACAAAAGTAAAGCAGGGTTCGTACGGTCCTTAATTTTTTCCAAAATGATTTTGGTCCTTAAAATCCTTAATTTTGGCCAAATGAATAAATAAACGGTCCTTAATTTTGCTCATTTGACATTTCTTATCATTTCTAATGATTGCCATTCTAAGTGTGAATTGCGAATTTCTCATGAATATGGAAATTAAAATTACACGACTCTTAACCAATCTGTTGGCGGATTTGCGTTGCAAACGATAAAAAATTAATTACCTAGCCTACCCGAATGAAAGTATCGGGGTCTGATTGGCTATTCACCCAATCTTTTGAAACAGGTGTTATCCATAAATTTAGGCAGATTGTGACGAAAGCGTGAAGCTGGAAGTTCTTTAAGAGGCGAAAATGATGATGAAGGTGCTCGAAAAAAAAAAGGGGGGATTCTGAAAATATTTGCCAAAATTAGAGCAATCCCAACTTTGGAAGCCCACAACCCTCCGACCGCCAATAGGAACGAGATGCCTGGAAAAGTGCATTTTCAATAAACTGTGGCTTCATCAAGCTGACTACAAAGACTGGATATTGATGGATGGCAATCCTTAAAAATGTGGGTCTTTGTCTGAAACAAATTGAAATTTCTAGAATGGGAGAGTCAGCGCTGAACATTCACATGAAAATTAAGTTTCGTTTTATCATTTCAATTTGTTTTTACACGGTTTTGCTTAGCTCAATTTCTGTGTTTGTTTCAATTAAGCCATAAATTAATTTTTTATCACCTTCTGCGGAGTTTATTCTCTTTTGCGCATACTATATGTATGGGATATCGGGATTATGAGTTTATTTCTGCAGCTTGTCTGTTATCGATTTCACGGGAAATCTGTTGGCTCCATTTCGACTTTAGGTCGCCAAGGGCAAATTCGGTAACGCTAGCCGAGAAAAAGTGAAGTTCGGAAATACGTTTTGAAGCTTTAATAGACAATTAAGTATTTGGTTTAAACCTATGTTGGTGATAGTAATGCATAATTTTTGCTAATGGCGATGCAATTATTAGTTGAAAATAACTAACTAATTGAAACTAATTTTCCTGAATGAACGAGACGCAAAATTAACTTTCATGAATTACTAAGTTATTGGGTAGAAGTTTAAACTGAAAATATACTTTCTGTATTATATATATTATATATATATATTTATACAGTACAAAGTCCGAGGTCGGGACTTCGGCGATCCCAGATTTGAGATTTTTCGGATATTAGATCATTTAAATCTACTAAGATGGCATGTAGAAATTTATAAAATTGAAAATATGAAATCATGATTATGAAATAATGAAATATTATGATTTAAAGGGTATCAAAATTTACAAAAGAAAAGAGCTTAATATTATATGTTTACTTTATTAAACATTTCTTTCAATGTGAGTTGTTTGATTCGTTTCTCTGCTAATACTTTAGACTAATACTATAGACATATAATTTCTTGTTCAGTTATTAAGTTCCATTGTTCAAGTTCTGTAATTGCTGTGTCGAGAATTCCGAATAATAACTTGTCAATTAAAATTTTTTCTCGTTCAGTAACCTCTCTGTTACTTTCTTCACTATCGGTTAGCTGTATTTTCTGGATTTAGAACCAGAACCATACTACAGATTTCGCCTCCGTTAATTGATTGATGATTGGGCATTGTCATCGCAATGAAAAACTTCTGTTTAATTCGCTAAATTTCTGCCGCCTTTATGTGAATAACAAATCAGTTATTCTTAATTCAAATAGCACTAAATATAATCGTTGTCCTAAGAGTATCATTAACAAAATCTATTTTTTAGCATAAGGAAAAAAATTTCTGCTAAATCTCCCCTTGTCAACATTTTAGAGCATTAAACTTAATCTGTAATCGGATAATACTCTATATTATTGGCGTCGCTGCATGATTCATCACTCAAAATTGTCATCCGTTGATAAACATGCGGTGATGAAAGCAAAATACAATAAATAATGATCGTGATTTCGGCATCAAGGATATAAAAAATATTAGTTTGGTTGTAAATAAAATTAACAAATGTTTCGGTTTGAGATTATGCCAAGCAGATACGTAGCTATGGAGTCAAGTTACTAATCACACAAATTTATGCTAAAATAATTATTTCTTCAATAATGAGATATTTTATTTAGCGCAAACTGAGATTAAGAATCGGGATTTCCAGCATGTTTTTTATGATGAGGAAAAAATCTAATGCGCGTGCGTAGAGCACACCCCTTCCCTTCAAAAAGCCCTAAAAAATTGGTTGGTGGTGGTTTGAGGTCCGGATTTTAGATCATTCCAGATATTGGATGGTCCGGATCTCGGACTTTGTACTGTATATATATATATATATATATATATCTATATATATATATTAACAATGAATTTGTTATATAAAAAAAAAAAAGTTACAAAGAATTTTAATTCTAAAAAAAGGCAAAAAAGCCAAATAAATTTTAAAAAAATATGCAACATGTAAAAGATTTAATTCTCGAACTAATCTACAATATCATTTAAATTCAAAGCAAAGCAAATCAGTGCAAATCTATCCATGAAAATAAATCTACTAATTAATAAATTAAAATTAAACAATTTTTTAAAAAATGCATATGTGAATGATCGTAGAGTAGGCAGGAGACAGACTTATCAAGGGGAAGTTGCCTCCAAACCTAACTCTCCAATCATTCAATTCGTGTTTCGTCATTCATGCAGGCAAGGGTAAAAGTCAAAACCAAAAGTAATTCTAATAAAGTGGTACCCTTAAAAATTAACATTTAAGTATTAACATTTAAGAATTAAAGTTCAAAAAGGAAAATACTAATTAAGTCTTTTGAGAATATTTGTAGAGAACTTATAATTGCAAAAGTCAATAATAAGGTCTTTGATAATATTGTGTCCTGTAAAATGCTGTTTTACAAATTTTATAAGTAATTTTAAGAAAGTGTTCTTACAAGTATACAACCAAGTAATTATATTTTTAGTGAAATTATCAGTAAGAAAGTAATTATTTATATTATCGTTTAACTTTTTTGTATATATATACATCTTTCAAAATATAACTTATCAGTATGGATTCACTCTTTTAAAATAATTCTACTTTAATTAAACTTAGGAGATAATATAATCAATTAATCAATATTGTTTAGGAAATAAATTATATATATATATAGTAAAAAATGTATATTTTCACTATTCAAGTATTCACTGTGACAAGTATTCCCATCTTGTCACATGAACAGGCCTCTGTGGAAAGGGGCTTCTCTGTAAATAAAGCAATTGAATTTGAAAACTTAAGTGACTCATCATACATTTTTCAACGCACAGTATTTGATTACATAAAATTTTCTGGAGGTGTTCTTAATATCGAAATTAATAAAGAAATGAGATCAGCAGCAGCTTCTGCAAGAAGTGGAGTTCGTTATTTAGAAGTTCAGTATTTAGAAGAACAAAAATCTTTAACTAAATCTGAAAATTCAAAGATGAAAAGAAATATTATTGAGGAAGAAATTGATTATATGAAGCAGAAGAAAAATTTCTTCAAGGGACATTAAAGATATTAATGAAGAAGTAGATGCTTTAGCAGATGAAGCTGAGCCAGCAGGAACATTGATTTGTTTATCAAAGCAAATGAACTTAGAAGAATAGTTAAAGAAAAGGAAAAGA